TTAAGAATTCATAGATTAAGAAGAGATAATAGTGGTAGCAAGATAGCAAAGATAGCAAAGATGATTATGATCAATAGAAGAGATAAATACAAATTGCGATTCTGAAGATCTGTGCGAACCATTTCTTCCGCTTCTAATAATCAGAATAACCCATCAGTACAATGTCCAGCTTGCCCTTGAACCGTCTAACGCATGAGGGTATTTGAATTGGATTGTTAATTTCCTCAGATAGTTAATCTGGGAAATAATATGTGGGCGCCTCCTAGATCCTGAAGTCTCAATCCCTTCCGAGAGCCTAAGTTAATTATTTATCCAAGGAAACTTTCATTACGCCTAAGATTACTACTTTCCGCACGCCGGTCTTGGAGATGGGGGCTAGGTTATATATATACATTTACATATATATATCAAAGGGCTTGTGCCTTGCTGTCTATGAGAGCAAAGTTAGAAACCATCCAATTTGAATATGAGAATATAGCTAGTATCTCATGTTTATTCTAGGAGTCCTCCATAGTCATAGACTCAGATAGGACTATAATAAAATCTAATCTAATCTTGGAGATGGTATTGCTATATTTCTCTTTTGCTAATATTGGGTGGTCAGATGGTTCATTTAGTATCTCTGCCTCAGGATAAATTATTCAGGCCACAACACAGACTCTAACAATGACAATGAATCGCACGACAGTATGCAACATGAGTACGGGGTCAGGGTCAGTGGATGATAGTCTACTTCACCGGTATCAAACCATACCATGCACTAGTCGAGCTTCACGCATCAAACGTGCTCAATGAAGGAGATATCAATCATCCTGGTCGTGGGTCATGTGTGAGAATCTTAGTTGTTCCAATCATACGGAAACTTCAGACACACAGAGTCTGAATTTCCAACAGGTCCCACAATGAATTTGTATCTCATCGGAAGAGAAGAATGCCGACGAAACAAACGCGAGAATGTTTTTCTCTATCGAGCGAGCTTTCCCGTGACACTCGCACGCTACTGTACACGGCTGGAGCTGGATAGTTCCGCATCCACACACAAGAATACCGACTGTGATCGTAATTATGTGTTGGTGATTGTCGGAATACTCGGGTGATCTTTATATGACACACTTTCTATAGTAGTAATAACAATTTGTGGTTAACATGTATCTTGATTATCGTCGCTCTAACTTGAGGAAAAGATGTATATAGAGTAGTTATCCCTCTCTCTAAACACCGTTCCTAAATAGGTAACTCCTTACTCATTAACATAATTGGTCATCATTTCTGAGATCATACATAAAGGTCATCAAGTCATTAGGTCATTCGATAGTGATCATTTAGATCCGTAGTTTGGTAAGAGATTTGATAACTGCGGCCAATTTATGACAGATTGCGTGCAGGTTACTGTTGAAAATGGAGGCACAAAGTGTTGTGGACGTACGGGCCCTCCATTTCGTCTAGGTTCCCGACACTATCTTGTGTGTATTTAATAGGTTGGAATGGGTAATGCGGTAGCGCTTCAGGCTACCCATTGGAGACATGAGCGGCTGTATTGCATGCGCTCAAGGAGGTTATTGGGGTTTTTATATGCCTAGATGGCGCCACACTTGTTTATGCTGTGGCTTAGGCTATATGTCGCTTACAGTTGTACTTGTAGCGCACAATTCCCTCACTTTTGGCTGTAATCCGAACATGACACTTTTTTATTCAACTTCTACTTTCGTTCCACAAGTATTGCGCCCATTTCATTGCGCGATATTTCCAGCAATGACTACTAACTTTGTGTGGGCGGGCAGGAATTAGACCAACTGGTGAAGAATTGTATATGTATTTAGAGATTTCAAAGGCTGGGATATCCTCGCATTGAAGCTACTCCAGCGCGGCTGCAATATCAATTCCATCCTCTTGCAAGATGAGACTTTAGACAAGGGCCCGAGGTTGCGCCGCTCTGTCTCAAGTACGTACGACACGTTGTTATCTCCATGGCGTGTGATACTACCTATCGCATCACAAACAGTATAGTCAAATGACCATGAATTGTAGGGTAAGCTGGAAAGAGGAATTCGTCGCATGATCAGGGTCCTTGTATCTTAGTAACTTGCCCTGGTCTAGATAAATATTGGAGAAGAGGCTCAACAAAAAACGGAGCTAGTGCAACGTAATTTTAATAAGCTGCGTAATTAATTTCTCACATTATGCGAATCTAAGATGGTCCTTGACAGGTTTGTTCTCATAGGACGTAAGTGTGCTTAGTGCCCGCTTAATATCGTGGAGATAGGTTGGATCATGATAGAATGTCGCTGTACACCGATGAGATTGTGGGACATTCACATTTGATTTGTGACGGCGGGAAGGCTCAGCCCCCTCAAGCCCTCCAAGCAAAGGATGTTTACGGGCGCACGACAGCCGGGAAGGCCACCCAGATACCATGCAGCTGGGCGTGGCCTTGCCGTGTATGCCGAGTGGTATCACTGTTTGCTGCATACCTCCCTCGACACGTAGTTCGGGATAGCTTTTGTGACACACTGACACGCCCCAAGAGGGATCATGGAAAAGGTTAGCCGCGAGAAAGCTGAGCTTCAGCAGCTGGTCTCATCGTAAGTCAGGGACAGTCGGGCAACTCATGAACCTATGAAGGCTTCATTCACTAAATGATACGTGGAAGCTATCAGTTTGGCTGAGCCACTTTGTTTCCTGGTGTACATCTTGCTGGATGAAAAGTGTCTGAATCGTTACCTTGGTTTTCGCCAAGTCTCCTACTTCTCCCACCAGAGGATTGCAGCTCTTGAATATGATACGGACCATCATCACAGCTGCTAACATCATAGACTCATGTTCCCGGCTTATCATGGTTATCGTTGTAGTGTTCATATCGGGATATCGGATTAAATTCCTAAATTCCAAGAGGGCACACTGCTTCTCTAGTCAGACAATAAAAAGTTTAGAATGTAGTACGATGGCCAGCTATTGGTGCGATTTCTGGCTGAAATGAGAGAATTGCTTCTTTAATGCCAAAATCTCGTGGCAGTTGCCGGGGACATTCCAATCCATGCTGGTTTTGAAACAGTGCAGGCCGAGGGGCTATATCATGCCTTCGTTTGTTAGGGAACTTGAGGTAGGTATTGGGTTGGTTGAGCTGGCAACTAAGGCTTGGAAGGCAGCGGAAGAGATAATCAGATACGGCTCCCTAGTATGTAATGACTAAGCCCCCTCGGTAATTCCGGAAGGGAGAGTACAATGCGGGCCGAGCAGATGCTATCCGAGTTGCTGTCCGCCTGGCTCCCTGGATAGCGATGTGTCTCCTTTTCATTCGTGGGATCTGGCCCTGAAAAAATCCTTGCCGAGGAACATACTTTAATCTCAAACAATATTTGGCGCATGTTATGGCAGAGTTGCTATCATGCTATAGGCTGTCCCCTTTGCCCACTGCTTTCATCAGGGCCATGAAATAGCACAGCTATGCCTGCATGTGAGTATATCGTACAGAACTCCGAGAGTCCGCGTCATGACAAGACCTAGCGGTAGAGACGTGCGACTACAATGCCGGCCGCTCGCGTAGCATCATTTTCGGCGGACTGGGCTCACGAGGCCGTGCCCCAGCCAGGCGACTGGCCCGGACACGGGGAGAAATCCGGACCCCCCACATCCTCCGCTCATAGAGGCCCCGCTATGTCGCTATGGGCTCAACTGGCAAAAATATAGGGAGCCGTAGCCCCGCAGTCCACAGGGCCGCACAGGCTCAAAGCGGCTTGGAGGATTCGGGCTTGACGGCGGCACACCTTCACCGCCGACACTCTCATACTGGCTCATTCCGGTGGGGGCTGTTAGCAGCAAGAATTTCGTGCCTCTTTCCGCCGGCACTTCCGCTAATTTCCCTCCCACTTTACTCTTTGTAGAGGGCCAATCACTTTAAGATGTGTGTCATTCGACAATGGCGTAATCGTTCATAAGCCGTGGGTTGCCTGAGGCATGAATGACCCCTGAACCCTTCAAATCTCTCGGACAAGCCCGAGTCTACAACGAACTACTTGGGCAAGAAAGTGGCATCTAAAGCGGAGAAAGCTACTCCGCTAGAGTCCCTGTCGTGCGTGGATCATAGCCCTTATAAAGTCCTAGTGCTAGCCTAGTTTGAGCCAGCCGTCCCTCAGATTCCTTTTGCCGTAACACGGCAGCTTGGTTGACCTATTTTGCTCCACCCTGGCTACATGGGATCATCCGTACATAAACTGTCAGTTCACATCATAGACAACGCACGTTGATATCATTGCCGAGCCCTGTCAGTAGGGACTTCATCTGTTCTCTTACCGTGCACATCCGCCGAGGAGTCAGAAAAGCCCTTGAACTCCACTGTTGCCGTAGAAAAATCATACGACAGATTTCCTCTCGCCGAACTTCACGCCATTATCTTCTCTGTCGCATGGACCTACTGACTCAGCCATCTGAAATCTATCCAGAAGCGAAATCACGGACCGTTGACAAGGATTCCGCGCCAACCACCTGGTGGGATAAACAAGAGCCTCTTAGTCAGCAGTTGAAATCAATCGTCATCAACGGATAAAATTCTCATGTTTAGCTCGGGAGGGCGAGATGTAGTAAGTCTTCGGTAGTGGCAGCGAACCTACCAAGAAGATAATTTCAGATAAAAGAATACGTGCGTAATTTCCCTCAAGTAAAATAGATTCACTTTTAACACCTTAGCTTGATACACGGTAGAGAGCTAGAACATATTCAAATGTAGTTCTAAATGAAACTAGTCCTGTGTGTAAAATGATGTACAGTCCTCAATACAATCCATATGCTATTCCGATCCTGTACCATTCACACCCAATTCTGATAGATCACGGATATCCCCAAGTCCCAACGCCATAAATGATAGGCACCAACACACTGAAGCAATTAAATAACGCCAAAAACTTCACCTCAAAAATACTTGTCACCATGAGTTGTTCATTGATCCTCAAGACAGGCCCGCGTGACTTATCTTACTTCTGCATGGCAGGACGAAGCGGAACTGCTTAGTCAATTAGAGCTGCATCTGATTTCTCTTTCTTCCCTTTGCTAAAGAATGAATTGCCTTTTTTGACCACTGGTTTAGATTTTGGAGTTTTAGTAGTGGCCATATTTGTAGCCTGGGCAATTCTATCCCGTTCTTCAGCGTATCCACGTCTTCGCTCTGCACGCCCGCGCTCAATATCATCTTGACTTAATCTTACAAATCCTCCTCTTCGCTTGAAACAAGACTCCATTAGCCGATTACAATCTATCATTCCTCGAGGGATTGCTTGGACAACCTGGAAAATTTCCATTGGATCGCCGACTGCCTTGATCTGTGGTTCTCCAAGCTTGAAGATAGTCAATGCGATACGAAAAAGAGTTTTAGACCCTTCGTAGAAGAAGGAGTCCCACACGCGTAACGTCGATTCGATTGGTAGTGTACCGATAAAGCAGGACATAAACCAAGCGGTAGTACATAGAGTTATTGGCGGCAGGCGCATAGAGTTACTTTCTGAGATAGATGGTTGGCCGTCTAGCTCATTTCCAATCTTGGTCCACACAGATGGCATCATTTCTTTGACAGATGTCATTAATACACCCAGATCTATATTGGCGCCCTCAAGCGTGAGTGAGTGAGTTCCTGGGAGAAATATGCGTGTAATTATGTTTAACATCCAAAATGCGTTCTCTTCGGGCATAAACAGAAGAAGAAGACCGGCTAAGAAGTTCAGAGATTGGCAATAACCTATCTTAGGATGATAGATTGAAAAAGCACGCAAGACACGCCGTAAAGATTGTAACATGGGAGTTTCGGGAATCTCTTCTTGTGGGATAGGAACTAATGGATCGGGATCAGGCTTGAACTTGATATTATCTGGAAAAGTGCGATTAAGGTCCCGTTCGATGATTTCGTCGTCTGTTTCTGTTACATGACCCGCAAGCGAGCGCTTGACTAAATCGTCGTAAACTCCTGGATTTTTCACGAGCATAGATGGTCCACCAGCGTAGTGAAACCAGGCTGCGCCACGCCATGATGGCGGTATACCCTTGCGGACAAAACGCTTAACTTTATGTGATTTTGGGGGGAAATCCTGTGGACTAGTGGTTGATAGATTGTGCTGCCTCATCATTGTAATCCATTTTCTTTTGCGGCGAGCAAGATACTCGGTATATGATTGATTCCAAGCCTCATACTCTTCTAAAGTAACATGCTGTGTCTTCTTCCGAAAGCCGTAACGATCGCGAGTTTCATCTAGTTGAACCGCAATTAGTGTTGATTTGGGTACATCTGATGATGCATCGTCTAATTCGACAGGTTTATCAATTGTAAGTATATTATTTTCTTCATTTTCAGACACCCTTGGCGTCTCACATCCACCTGCGTCAAAAATAGAATTAGGATTCCGAAGCGATAACTCGTTATCATGTGAGAGTATTAGTAAATCATCTGTTAATAATATTCCAAAACTTGTATCATTTTTGTCAGAATTTGTTGCGTCAAGCTTCGCATCATCGTTGTCATCAACATCTGTTTGATCGGTGAAGCCTCCTTCATACATTCCGATGGCATCATCTACACTCATACCTTCATCAAGTGCAAAAATTGATGTCCGGGAACTGCTTTTTGTCAAGACGCTGCTACGTTCGGTCCCGCTTGTGCCAAGAAAGCTCGAATTAGAAGTAACTACTGATCGGAAGGAAGAGCGTATTTCTTCTCCATCAATAAAATTACGCAGGGGGGTAGGATCGTATCTGACTGAGTGGATACCTTCAGATGTTGAATTACAATCTCCTCTACCTGAACTTTTGATAACCCTGGATGACATGATGCTTGGATTTAGATTTTTATTGTCTATCGAGTCGGGAGAATGATAATCGGGAATCGAAGGTGATAACCGAATATTTGCTGATCGGAGGGCTAAGGGTGAATTAGATGAAGTTGGGTGCGTGGAGCCAAAAGAAAATCCTCTAGTCCGAGACCTACACTGGGCCCTTTGATCAGTATCTTCGTGACTAGGGACTAGTGTCGTTGTGTGGTCGTTCTTGGGGTGAGCAAGAGGTAGCGATGGCAGTTCCTTTTGCTCCCTGACACTGTGCTGCCTAGGTCGCGAGAAGTTTTCTGCGACAGGTTCATTCTTATCAGTCCTGAAGCCAGTATCAGACGTTAGTGATTGGTGCTCATGATTCAAAGCTTGAACTAACAGTGCTTTGGAAGGCGTCTTTTGCTGACTTCGGGTTTGCTCGGCGCGGTGGAAAGATGGGGATTTAGTGCCAAGATTGGCTGTGGATACTAGATCTCTCGATAGTTGAGGCAGAGCCGGTAGACGTGCCGTAGGAGGAGGATATGTTGGGGAGCCTATGGATCCGGATTGTGATGATTTCCAAGAAACGTTCGATGCTGAAGTACTTTCTGCATGTAAAGTGAGCTGTGTATTTCGTGGCATCGTGAGGAGAAGAGTTCGGTGATCGAGTGCAGTCGTGCCTTGGCTATAAGCATTTGCCAAGTTAATTTTCGGGGAACTAGGCCGCTTTTCTTGGTTATATACAACTACTCAGTTAATATCTGAACATGTAGGGCTTTAAACGTCTAAACCTCACTTTCTACACGTAGGTAGGCTCAACCCTAATTTTGTATGATGTGTAGGTAGTATCTGAAGTCTCCTTAATTTTTCCTCTGAATTATCCCCTGACTGATCCCTTGATAATAGCCAGCTTGCGTCGGGTGTTCCCGAAAAGAATTGTGGGAATTAGATTTTCGTAAAGATAAAGCGCCTACCAACGTTTAAAGAATCGAAGATTGGATAAATTTGCTATCAAGGTAGACAGAGTGTTTAGCAACCAAATGAGCAGACAGACAGTCAGTTGAGGAAGGATGATTGGTGTCTGACTTCGCCATCTGCCCTAGAAGAGTTGGTTGAAAGAGGTTGTAACGTCAGAAGCCTTTTAGGGGTTCTGGCTACATGAGAAACCCAACTGTTTCGAGGCATTTGGCGTTCTAGGGTCAGTGCCAAACCCTGAGCTCAATCTCACACCCGAATTGAACCATTGGCGCACGAGATTTTTTGGCATGACCAAAATAATCTAGCTCGCTACCTGCCTGCACAACTGAAATTTGCTTTAATATAAATCAGAGACAGGCGCAATGGGATTATATTCTCGCAGTACAAAAAGATAGGAATCAGAAAGCCCAGCATTGTTGTCACCTGATATCCTAGATATCCTTCTACATAGTGACAGGAGGCTGATTTCAGCTTATAAGATAAGCCACACTGTAACTACATTTTGATCTCATGGATAGCAAAGCTACCACACAATTTTATTGAGGTCTACGATTTTTCAGTGTTCACCTCTGCGACAGCTAGTGATGAAGATTCATCGACCCTCCAAGACTTCGTGTTTCATTTCTATATAAGATTATTGAGAGCTTACTTGTCGCTTTTAATCCTTAATTTGCTGCATATTTTTGCGTATACTTCGTTGCCTCTGCTTCAAATGCCTTGCGATCGTGCTTATACTTTTCCGCTACCTCTGTTTCTATCGCGTCATCTGGCAGTGGCTCTACTAGAAGCTGTTGGGTGGCTATCAGGACATTAATGATTTGTGAGGATGGTTTCCAAATGTCTGGCTTCAGGATTCCAATACACATGCTACCTTTGTCGTCAAAAGTTATGTTGGGGTGATAGATGCGAGTTTTAAAGGATAGCTTAGGGGGCTTGAACGGATATTCCCTCGGGAGAGTGAGGAGAAGTTCAAATAAGCCGCCCTAAAGTCTTTGAGGTCAGCGCATGTCAGGAAATTAACGACGTAATTGAGAGACGTACGGCGTAAGGTGATCCTTCAGGGCCAGTCAGGATGATTTTCCAGTTCAAGAGGCTTGACTCGTCAACAAGGCTAACCTTAATTCCAGCTGGAGGGCTGTGAGAGACCTCTGCAAACTCCTGACAGATTGATGAGACAATTCTCTATTGGTCAGAGCTTTCTTACCTTTGCGAGTCGCCTGTTTGCAAGACCAGCCATTTCAAAGTCTGGCTGCGGGAGTAGCTGGAAGGGAACACTTCCAGCCTGGTTGATAATATAAACACCTGATTTTTTCAAGATACTCGGATAGGTGGAATGCGTGTTAGATTTCCAAATTACACGTAAGTTTGACCTGAAATTTTCAAAAATCCGACATAAATGCTGTATTTCTTCATGCCAGAGTTCGTCGGATGGTTTTTGACTGTGGCATGACGGAAGAATACGCGAGCATAATAATTCAAGGTAGGAACGTCAATTTAGAGAATCTAAAATTAACAACCTTAACTGTCCTCCGCAAAAATTGCTCTTGTTTACATACCGAATTTGAACAGCAAAATTAGGTCTACAGCTTCATAATACATATCAAGAGTCAGCATCTAAAGCTCTCGTAGTCCCGAATCAGATATCTGTTTCTTACATGCCTCCAACACGGTAGTTCAATGAAAAATAACCATTACATCAAAATTCGTGGCCATAGTTCTACGATTTTTGTACCAGTTTTATTCTCTTTGAAGAATAACCATTAAACCCATTATCCCAACCATGGCAGTTTTGAGCCATGGATGTTCACTAAGGAGAATCGTCACGTAGCCCACGAAAGGCATATATGCAACTGCGCTACCCATGATATCTTTCCTTTCGATAAAGTCTTGTCCGCGTGCATAAAGTTCGGTATCGTCTGCCGCATTGTTATCACCCTTGGTCAAGATTTTTGCGTCTGGTCTAATAAAGCAGGTTAGCATGAGTAACATAGTTCTACGTGGCTATTGTCTTATTTTCAAGCGAAAACCCATATCCCAGTATTTACTGATATAAAGGTGAAAGAAGCTTGAAGTAAGGTGAAATAAGCGCAGTTAATTCTTACCCGGTTCCAAACTTCCTCACCATCCTGTGCACAATTGGTATTTCCTTTCCTTTCACTGAGTAAACGACTATTTCGCCGACCTTTGTTTCCTCAAATAAGTTCCGATTCCATAGGAATAATAAATCGCCACGCTGGAAGGCCGGCTCCATGGATCCAGAAAGGACGACAACGATAGGAGACGGTGTGTCTGAGATTATTGAAAGACCCTTCCATATCATGAAAGCAGTTGAAAGAATAAAGCCAAAGCTCAAGAACTGGGCCGCCGCTTGCCGCGGGGTTTGAAGACCAGATAGCATGATTATGGTCAGGAAGGTGAGAAAGACGAATAGCCAAACTTAATTTCAAAGTTGATTTTGCACCTGTAAACTGTGATTAATAAAATGTACTTATATTGAAGGGTTAGCGTAGTGAACTAGAAAAGTTGGTCAAGATTTGGATAAGAGTAAAATGTGCACAATTCATAGAAGCCACGTAACCTTGAGACAAATTAAATTTGGATGGATAATCCTATTTAATAAACAAGCGGATGCTGCTGTTCCCCATAATCGGACTGTAACACATCCACAATTATCTCTTGGAAAAATTCTAATCACACTCCCAAATATATTCCTTCGTTACGGAATAGGATTTCATTCATTTATGTCTCTTGTATCCTCGCCTCCCTCAAGACGTGACGCGATCAGATACTTTTTGTTGCATCCCAGCCCAATGAAACGCCAACGACCATGGCTTAACACGTAAATCGGGGGCCTATTCTCGACACCTGTCAATGGTATATTCTACGAACCTCAAGCTCTCACTGTAGAGTCTGCAGAGCCGAGATTGAGTAACAAAGTCCTCACTTCGAGGGGATTCCCAATCGCTTGCGCGGTCTGTATCGTCTTCATCTCTCAACACATCCCCCTATCACCATTATCGCGAAGCTAACCACGATCAGTTCAGATGGTAGGGTCGGAGCTCTACTCATCACCAAACCTTGATCACGGAGGAAAAGCCATCAGATGAGTTTCCGGAGCGTACCCAGCACCCGATACGGAGATGGTGGATTGGATCAACTCGGCCTCGACTGTTACAAAGAAGGGAGATATAGATGAATATGTGCACCTCATGTGGTCGCGGTGTCTAGGCCTCGCCTGGCTGGGGCTGCAGGTTTTTTGAGACTTTTTCCAGCGCACGCAGTTTCCTTTGTTACCTTTTTTAATTTTTATTAGGTAGAAGGTTCCGTGGAAAATGTGGCCGAATTCCATGGGTAAATATTGAGCTGAATGGCTACTCATCACGGGCAATATTTCAATGATCTTTCAAGTAACAAAAGAGGTAATGAGCACAATACAAGGTGTGGCCTAGGTCAGAAAGGAGCCCAATATGCTAGATAGTCTAAGACTCAAGTAGAACAATAAACAACATCACTCAGTTAACACGTAAATCAAAGTCGACAAGAAGTAAAGGCCAGCGAATCTTACCTCAACAATGAAGTCTAACCTCTCCTGTATCTACTGATGAGTTAACTTCTCATATTGAAGTCCATGTGTCTAGTTTTCAAGCACAAACCAGAGGCCCTGTCAACAACGGTGAGGAGGACAAAGACTGATTACTGGACCGTGTTGTCATCTACGAACATGGGAGTGAAATATTCTTTCAAAGCCAAGTCCAATCAAATTCCGCAATATCAAAGTAGTTAGTTCGAGAGGCAACAATTTAAAACTCCGCACCAAATCATTCTTTTTTCTTCCGACGACATTAATTCCTCTCGATACCTCATTCAGTTTACAATTAAAACTTAGCACATCTTTATATCAATGATCACACCTCTCATCGACTATTCTCTTATCCCAGCAGGCCACCAAATATACGCCCACTCTGATACTTAAATTCGACAGGAGAAACAAATCGCAGTTAACAAATCTGGGAAGCAGTATTTTTTAATAAACTTTAGAAAAATCAGGACAATTTTACTTGATGTAGGGGTTGGATACAATTTCGACTCTTGTGAAGTTTTGAATGTTGACAAGGAGATTTTCTAATTTAGCTTTGTGCGTGCCAAGTCTTCGGTTGCGAGAGTGCGGGCGACACTATAAATGCCGCCATGGTTGGATGGTGCGGTGGTACATTGTCTTGGCCGGTCTTCAATTAAGACCTGGATAGCTAGGACACATATTTCACTCGAGAGAGGGGACCTCTGGTTCAAATCCGGCAAAGCCATACTACATTTCTGAAGGCGCTGGTACACATGGATGACGAAGGTATGCTTGGAAAACCAAAGGTATCGTTAAACTTTAGTGCAGCAGATCGATTGTTGTGTAGCAACTTAATTACTAAAGGATAGTCTCTAATTATTACAAAATCTAATGTCTCACGACGCTCGCCTAGTAAACTAATCTTTACCTTCACGTGATGCTCACGACTTGGTGTGATACAACCTATTTCAACAGGTTTTGAATTTCACTTTGGTAGGTACTTACTTAGGCGGGTCAACTGTTTGTGTAAGGAAACACAACTCATTGTGACGGCTGTTAAGCCGAAAGACTCCTGTAGCCTGGGCTGGCTAGCGTAGGATATGATATAAGGGGAAGGTCTCGGAAGCCACAGAACTTCAAATATTCTCAGTGAACCTTCTGGAAACACGCTGAAGGTTCACGAGGACAACAGGTGTGCCGAGAACCTTCTAGGTAGCTCTAGAAGAGTCTAAATAATTCAGGTCACAGGGAGAATCATCTTGAAGGGCAGTAATTTAGAATTGTATATATAAGTAGTCTTTAGGTTGAAAATTTCTCTCCAGAGAATTATAATTAATATACTGTACTTACAAGATCGCCCAAGCATTTTGTACTGGAACCGTGACCCTCATAGTAGTATTTGAAAATGAAATCCAGAATGTGAGTGTCTTTAACGTCAAAAGAGGCATCCAATATGTTTACATATCACCGATCATGTTTGTTTAAAATTTGAAGTCCTGGCTTATACCTGCTATCCCCTAAGGGTCAAAGACCGGTGTTTACAGCCAAGATCAAATCTATGACAAGCCTAGATTGTTCCCACCACGTGAACCACTACACAAATAGTAGCTAGTTAAATTACATGCAGCAATACATAAGATAGAAATCACAATAGAAATTCCAGGCCCTAAAACTGTGAGCTCCAAATTGATACCAGCACTTACAGTTGGGAAGCAAAGCTCCTCGCCTCGTTTCCCTTCCTATCGTGCCATGTTCCATGACTAATTTTTATGGACCTCGCTGAGAGCAGGGATCTAACCTGCAGATGAGCACCCTTAAAATCGGGTTTTCTGTGCAAAGTTTCTGAAGTCTTCAAGGCACTTGGGTCCGAGAAGTACATGTATGAAGTTGTTGTGGGACTTCAGACCTCGGATTCTACGTGTTTCGTGAGAATTGAGCCGACAGTGTATAACTTGGATTGGACTAGTCTCTTTTCCACACACGCACTCACTAGGTTTGTCTTCACTAAACACTCAACGGCTTCAGAACAACATGCTTGGGCGATCTTGTAGGTACAGTATATTAATTATAATTCTCTAGAGAGAGAAATTCTACAGCTAGACTACAAATATATATACACTCTGAGATACTCCCTTCCTATAAGGTTCCCCCCATGACTAGAATAATATGGAATCTTCGAAGATTCCCTAGAAGACTCTCGATATGTCTGTCATCCTCATGAACCTTCAGTATATTTCCAGAAGGTTCAATAAGTATCTTCTAAGCTCCGTGTATCCCGAGATCCTTCCCGAAGATCCCCGAAGATTCCCTTGATGTCATTGCCTGCGCTAGCCAGCGTAAGCTACAGGAATTCTTAGGCTTAGCAGCCGTTACAATCGGCGATGATAGGCCGCTGAATTGCCGTGGCCCGTACGGGCTGCAGTT